TATAAAACCACGCTCTTTTCCTAAAAGAAAGCGGAGCATCAGAAAGAGGCGTGGAAAATAAAAGTAATAAAAAAAATTTTTTTAACTTAACATTAAATAAGTACCGCAAACTTAAACATCTTTCGCAGGCAATAAAAATAAATGAACCTTATTTTTCATTTAACTATAATTTTAAAACTTAACCTATCATCGAATTAGTATTTTTTGCTGAATTTCTGTTCTATCTATCTCTCTCTCGTTCTCTCTCACTCTTGTGACTTTATTCAAAGGCAAAAGCCATTTTGAGGTTATGTTGTGTTTTCGTCGCAAATCTCTCGTAAATTCATTGATGTAGTTAATTTGGATTGTAAGATTACTTTGAGTACATTTCACTGAAAGCTGATTTTATCCGAAGCGAACATTTCCGAGGTTAGTGTGTAATCGAAGACACAAAATTATTCGGTCACACGGCTAAAGTCGTAACAGTAAATTCGCATTTAAGGCTTACGTGTTACTAGATTTTGGTTGCGGTGTGTCTCTCTCTCTCTCTCTCTCTCTCTCGAAAGGGATGAGGGGAACGGACCAATCACGTGGCTTAAATTTTGGGGTCAGATTGAACCATGTGTGTTACTATACTAATAAGCCAATGGGATGGTATAATAGCCCCTTAGACACTTAGGGGAGGGGGGTGAAGTTGTAGTCTCGTACTGCTGCTACTGCTGCTCTATGATGTACGTTATGAGACATCGTATTTCAGTTAGATTACGCGTACATACGTGTTCGCCGTTGGAGCTTACGTGGCTAAGTACGTGCTCACCTTGTCTATCTATATATCTTTCTCTCTCTGTCTCTCGTTCACTCACTCACTCACTCTCTGCTTAGAGAAGCAGTAGGCGAAATAGTTCAAATCAGTCTTTCGTGACTGCCATCCTTAATTGGAAGACTGATATACCACAATGTGAGAGGCTATTAATTTTAGTTCCATTTTGACTGGCTTTATAACTTTATTGTCACTAGTAATAATAATAATAATAATAATAATAAAAAGAATAATAATAAAATAATAATTTAAATATATTACTAATAATATATTCTCCTAATATTTGGTTTTCTGGATGTAAACCCTAGTGTCGGTCTTTTATACCCAAACGATATGTGAGAGTACAGTGAAGTAATTAGAATTATTCCTCCTACTTTTAGCCACGCCTACTTTTATCGCTCCACTTACTATTGACCACGCCTATTTCTGGCTCCGCCTACTTTTGGTCACGCCTATTTCTGGCTCCGCCTACTTTTTAGCCCTACCTAAAAATGTTTTGCTTACTCCTACCTTTATGACTCTTCCGACTTTTCTGGCTCCGCCTACTTTTGGTCACGCCTACTCTTCTGAGTCCACCTACTTTTGGCCACGTCCATTTCCGGCCCGGCCTACTTTTCTGGCTCCATCTACTTTTGGTCACGCCTATTTCTGGCTCCAATTACTTTTGACCACGCCTATTTCTGCCTCCGCCTACTTTTGGTCTTGCCTATTTTTGGCTCTTATTTCTACAAGTCGTAAAAATTAATTATTTTTTGAAAATTTAGTATTGAAATTTTTTTTTGAAATTTGTGGGTGAAAAGTAGAAAAAAAGTATTGGAAAATAATAAATTTTGAATGAATAGCTTGGTTGATATGTTAATTTAAAGTTTTTTTTTCCAAATTCGGCGATCGAATATTTATTTTAATTTAAATTCGTCATAAATTGTAAACTTCTTAACGAATTTATTTTCTCGTTTTTGTAGGATTTTTTTCATTTCAGAGGAAAAACAATAACACAAAAAAATATAATCCTTGATTATATGACATAAACTTAATTTTTGAGGTTATGTATATGGAAACTAATTTTCTTTTTTGCCATTAAACTTGAAATCTCATTTCGTTTTACAAATAACTACTACTCATATAATTCTCTCTCTCTCTCTCTCTCTCTTGCTATTTTATATCCCATTATCCTCGCATCTGATAATTTTCATTATAATCGGATTCGACTTGGAGAAAAATGGTTTGCGCTGGCGCAATTTTGGGTGAAATTTGTTGTGCTATGTAAAAGCTTGCTCTCTCTCTCTATACATATATATATATACATTGAGAGAGAGAGAGAGAGAGAGAGAGAGAGAGACATGTCTTTCACTATTGGCTCAAAATCGTCGAGCATTGCCGCTTCACGTGTAATTTATCGCATACAGCCATCGTTGCGCTGCGGTTCTTTGCGTGTCTTGAAGCAGTTAACGCGAAGATTATCGTCCTATACACACGACGTTCCTCCCCCCTCTCTCCTGCCCCATTGGGTTCTGGAATTCTGACGTATTTATTTACATATGCTACAGACAAGGAAAAAAAGCTGGATTTAAATTGCTCTTTTTTTTAATATTGACATTTTTATAGAAATTCCCTCCACCTCGAATTTTCATTTTATAAAAAAAAACACTAAATATTAATATTTATTTCAAAAAATTTTAATACACGTTTAAAAAATGTGAACTATTTGGAAAATAATGTCTTATTTTCTTATTTTTTATTATATTGAAAATTATTATTTTTGTAATTCTTTTTATAAGAAATATGTTTTTTAAAAATAATTTGTAAAATAGTAATTTTTGTAAACAATTTTTATAATTTTAATAATATTTTTTTGTAATATAGCACACAAAGATAGAGAAAATTTATGGAATTTAGAATAGTATTATTCCGCCTACTTTTTGTCTGCGCCTATTTTTGGCTGGCCTACTTTTCTAACTCCTCCTACTTTTGGTCACGCCTATTTTTGGCTCCGGATGCTGTTTTTGTTCCGCCTACTTTTTCGAAAAGCCTATTTTTAGCCGCCTAAAAATTGTTTTGCTTACTCCTTCTACCTTTATGGCTCCTCCCACTTTTCTGGATCTTCTTTCTTTTGATCACGCCTACTTTTAACCCGCCTACTTTTCTGGGTCTACCTACTTTTGGACACATCTATTTCTGGCTCCACCTACTTTTTGGCCTATTTATGGCTCCTTCCACTTTTCTGGATCCGCCTACTTTTGACCACGCCTATTTTCTGGCTCCGACTACTTTTTGGTAACGCCTACTTTTTGGCCACGCCTAAAATGTATTGCTTACTCAGCCTAACTTTATGGCTCCTTCCACTTTTCTTGCTCCGCCTACTATTTATTTGTAAAATAATGTTTTTTTCGTTTTATTTTAATTATTTTTGTAATTCTTTTTATATCAAATAAGTTTATTTAATAATTTGTAAAATAGTAATTTTTGTAATATTTTTTTTCTAATTTTCATAATAATATTTTCTTTTGAAATTATCACACAAGGAAAGAGAAAAAGTTTTGGTATTTAGAACAGTGTTCCTAAATAACAAGAGTATGTGTGTGTGATAATAATAATAATAATAATAAGACCCGGCCTTTTGATATTTATGCCTCTAAGCTGAAAATTCCCGGACCTTGTGCATAAATTCTTAAGAGCAAGTGATGCGCTGTTAGGGAAATTTCTCTATACATATAATATTTTGCGTGGCGATAGAGGATTTTAATGATGGAAGTCCGACAAAGGGAGGAAAGTCAAAGGGGATATGAAATCAAGCGCTTTATGGTGACATATATAATACTCACACACAAATTAACAAATAAATACACACACACACAAACACTATTTACTAATGCAGGTCATCAACGTCTACAATTTTCCGTATAGCATCTACAAAGTTTTGCTTTTGATTTACTGGCTAACGAGTTGGTTTATTTCACAAACAGAACTCGAAATTTGATTTTCTATTCCATATGTAGTATATAGACATATACATATTTAAATATTCAAACAATATTACGCTAATCTCGTATGTAATACCCAATTAAATAATGTTAAGTATCATTTCAATAACAAGAACAAAATTTTCACATTAAAATCCACTCTGTCATTAATTATAAATCGTGGGTTTTTAATATTTTTTTTTTATAAAATTAATTTTAGATAAAGAAAAAATTTATTAATTTTTATAAATATTTATGATAAAATTTTTTTTAAAAATGTTTTAAGTAATTTACTACTTTAGAATTACAATAATCTATTTAGGCACCACTTACATTTTTTATATTCCGTCTACTTTTTTTTAAATAGACTTAACCCACGCTTGGTTTATAGTATTTTGTCTCCTTCCACTTTCATTAAGCTCCGCCTATTCAATAAATAGGCTCCACCCACTCTCCACCCATAGTAATTTAACTCCTCCTACTTTTGGTCATACCTATTTTTGGCTCCGGCTTCTTTTTGCCTCCGCCTACTTATGAGCCACGCCTATTTTCGGTTTCGCCTACTATTGACCACGCCTATTTATGTCTCCGTCTACTTTTGGCTATACCTAAAAATGTTTTGCTTACTCCTCCTACCTTTATGGCCCCTCCCACCTTTCTGGATCCGCCTACTGTTGGTCACGAATATTTCTGGCTCCGCCTACTTTTCTGGCTCCAACTACTTTTGACCACGACTATTTATGGCTCCTCCCACTTTTCTGCATCCGCCTACTATTGACCACGGCTGTTTATGTCTCCGCTTACTTTTGGCCCCTCCCATTTTGTTGGATCCGCCTACTTTTGCCACGAATATTTCTGGCTCCGCCTACTTTTGGCCACGACTTTTTATGGCTCCTCCCACTTTTCTGGCTACGCCTACTTTTTGGCCACACCTATTTTTGACCCAGCCTACTTTTATGGAATTTTTTATTTTTCCCACATTTTTCTCGCAATTTTTTACTAATCCCTCCGACATTCCGATACCCCTTTTTTCTAATTCTTTTTGGCAAACTATTTTTTTTTTGAGAAAATGAGAAAGTTTTTTGGGAATTTTTTTTTTTTGCTTTATTAGGTTAAGCTATTGAACGTTATATTTCATAATGCTTCAAATGGGAGGGATGGGGAGAGAAATGGAAATTTTTGAAGAGGGTGGCTCGTGACTGAGAATTAATTACTGAGTGAAGGATCAACTTTTGTTGCAGCTTGATTCATTTAAACACAAGACCAGAGCCAGCAATAAGATGTTCCACCCTTCGAGGAGCGACAAGACTACCAACAGCACCCGATCATCGAAGCGAGGCTCGTCTCAGAATAGATCCCAAGGTGTTGGTCTTTGTTGAGACACTCTACTCGAGATTGGGACGTGAAATCTCCGAGCTTTTAGTGTATAATCGGATAAAGTGAGTATTTTATTTTCTTTATTTTGATAAAAAATAATTTTTTTTTTTTGAAAAAAATATTTTTGAAATTATTTGTTTTTGGAATAAAAATAATTTTTATAATTGTAAATATATTTTTGGAAAAAATTTGTTTTTATTAATTTATAAATATATTTTTGAAAAAAAAATTTATTTTTCAATTGTAAAAATATTTTTTTGAAAAAAAAAATTATTTTTTAATTGGAAAAATATTTTTTTTTTGAAAAAAAATTTGTCTCTTTTTTTACAAAAAAAAACAGTATAAATAAATGATCGCTGTGTATTTTTTCGGGTCCTCCCCCCCACCCCATCTATCAGATAATCTTGGATCCTGTTTAGAGAGCTTTTTTGTTTACAGTCGTGTAGTGCGGGTTGCATTTTGAGTGCATAGCCCCTGAGCAAGGGCTTTTTGTATGACACGTAAACATATCAAGCTGTGTACTCAAACGAGACTGCAAACCCGTTCTATACAGATGATAACAAAAAAAAAAACAGAAAAAAAAATTTATTTTTCCCCGAGACCTCGCATCTAGTGGGCAAATTCTTTTTTTTCTTCTTTAAAAAAATCAGGGATGCGTTCAATAAAAATAGTAAACAAATGTTTATTTAAATTTTCTATATTTCTTCATTTTAGTAGGTATTGCTTTACAAGGATAAAGAAAATATTTTAATAAAAATTGAAATATTTCAAAAAAAAATGTACAATATTTTTTTAAAATACTTTTTGGTACATTTTTGCGTAAATAAGAAAAAAAATATTTAAATATAAATAAAAAATAATTATTAAATTTTTATTTCATAATTTTACTATATTATTGATTATTTCACAGACCTGAAAGGATAAGATTAACATTTTTTTTTTTTTTTTTTTGTTAAACCAACTTAAACAAAGGAGAAAAAACTCTCTCACAAGCGGTAAGAATGTTAATTAATTTTATTAATAAATAACTCTCACAAGTGATGGAAAAATTGACCTATAGTTGGTAAAATAATTATCTGACAAGATGTGAAAAAATAAGCTCCTTTTAAACAAAAATTGAGATAAATCTCTCTTGCAAGCTGTAGAAAAAGGTTTATGAATTTAAAAAGATATCACTATTACAAGTGGTGGAAAAATTGACCTAATCTTATTAAAATACTTCTATGAGAAACTTTAACAAAAATTATCGACTTTTAACAAAAATAGGCAAAAATCTCTCTCACAAGCGGTATAAAAAGTTTATAAATTTAACAATAAATCACTCTCACAAGTTGTTGAAAATTTGACCTTCAATGCAATTATCTAATAATAATAATAATAATAATAATAATAATAATAACAATTAATATTTTGTATTAATAGCAAAAAGGAAAAAAAATTACAAAAATTTATTTAAATTTTATGAATAAAAAAAATGGATTATAAATCTAAAACCGCTTGTGCCATAAAAAATTTTTTCGAAGAGACATTATATATATATATATATATATATATATATATACTTATAGAGTTTTCCTGGTGATACAAAAATACGATTTGCGCCAGATGGTGTTTGGTATTTTACAACGTCACATAAACAACACCAATACACGTGAAAAATATAAAATGCCTCACGTTATATATCGAAGACTCTAATAAAATTAAAAACTCCTTTCTTGAAGTTTAAATCAGTTTTTTTCTTTTTTTTTTTGAAATAAATTTTATAACAAGTAAAAATAAAAATCCTGATTTTATCGTTTTGTTTTGCAATTTTTTTTTATTTTTTTTTTTTTTGCTTAAAATTTAATTTTTTTTTTTTTTTTTGTCAAAAAATAATTTCTTCTTTATTTGTATAAGAAAAAAATTGCTAATTGTTAATTTTTTTTTTTAAATTATAAATTTCTTTTTGTGAAAAAAAAATGTTAAGATATAATTTTTCATATTTTTAGAAAATAATTTTCTATTCTTTTTTCTTTTGCACTGGATAAAATATATGTGAATGGAGATTGTGAATTTTTTTTTCCTTTTTTTTTCTTTAAATTCCAGTGAATAACGAGTACATCTAAAATTCTATTCACATTAGGCAACTCTTGCATTCTATCAAAATAGGAGACTTTTTCACTATACGAATCTACGAGCTGAAAATTCATTGGCAAGTGTCCAGCTTTAAAAACTGGAACTGGCTTTTCTTCTGAATGCATCATATTTTCCTCTCTCTCTCTCTCTCTCTCTCTCTCTCTCTCTCTCTCTCTCTCTCTCTCTCTCTCTCTCTCTCTCTCCAGTAAAAATTTTTTTTTATTTACTTCCTGTTATTTTAAAAAAAAAATTATATTTTAAATATTATTTATTTTCGAAAAAATATTTTTATTTATTTATTACTATTAAAAAAAAAATTTTAAATACTTATTTTGCAATTATTTATTTAGTTTTTTTCCAATTAATAATTAATATAAAAAGTCAAATTTGAAAAAAGGTTAAAAAAATTTTTTTCTTTATAATGTTAACACATAAATAAATATAGATTAAAATTTAAAAAATAAATAACACTTAAATGTAAATTAATAAATAAATATGTTAATTAAATAATAATTTATTTTCAAAGCTACGTTTCTCTCTCTCTCTCTATTCAAGATTGACATTAAGGGGAAGTAATTGTATGTGTTTCATATGTACATGTGTGTATGTGTTTGTGCGTTGAAAGGGGGGATAATCGAAAAGCCATCCAACACACGTATACAAGTAGAGCTTTCGCACAAATGTAATATAACAGAGAGTAGGTTCAATAATGGCTTTAGTAAATCAGTAACGCCCCTTTATTTTCATTTCAAAGAAAATTTATTAATCGATAATTACGCATCTACTGTTAAATAATTGCAAAAAATTTTTAAATACCATTCACGCCAAAAATTTAGTGTAAAGAATTAAAAAAAAAAAAAAATTTGCCCCCACTGGGATTCGAACCTTTTACAACAAAATTAGCAGTTAGGAGACTTATCCACTAAGCCAAAATGTAAAAATTTAATAAAATTGAAAAGTACCCAAAGAGAGAAGAGAATTAAAAAAAAAAAAAAATTTGCCCCCACTAGGATTCGAACCTTTTACAACAAAATTAGCAGTTAGGAGACTTATCCACTCAGCCAAAATATAAAAATTTTAATACAGAGTTCAAAAATCCCCAAAGTAGTGTAAATAATTTTAAAAAAAAATTTCATCACTGGGATTTGAACCATTAACATAAAATTACCACTTAGAACACTTATGCACTGAGCTAAAGTATAAAATTTACAAGAAAGTACAAAAATTTCAATTTTGGGCTTAAATTAAATTTTCAACCTCTTTTTTGAACAGTAAACGATCGTATTTACAATTCTTTAACAGAAATTAATTTCTAATTAAATTAATTAATCTAATAAATTACTTAATCTAATTAATTAATTAGTAAAAAAATTAAATATTCTAATTTTGTTAGAATATTCCCTTTACTTTTTTTTTTCAAATTCCTAAATAATTAAAAACTACTAAAGAAAAAAAAATTCTCCACCTTGGGGAATCGAACCCCAGTTACGAAATTAGCAGTCGAGTCACTTATCCACTAAGCTAAAATTAACTTTTTTTTCTCTAAACCACCTAAAACCATTTTTTTCTCCTAAATTTACCTTTCTTTCGTTAAAATAAACAGAAAATAAATATTTATTAATTATTTTCATGTGGAAAATTTAATTTGACAAATAATAATAATGAAAATTAGTAAATTTCAGCTTAATGTGATTTTGCAAGATGTACAAAGGGAAATGGGTGGTGGGGTAATTTGGTACTGTTGCTGATGTATGACAAGTAATAAATACGAGTATCAGTTTAACGTACGCCACACGTCTCTAGTTATATATGATCAATGAGAAGCAGTAGTGTCATGTCTGTAGTCTAATGCACATATCCGGTCATTAGTCGCTTTATGACTGTGTAGTATCGATGATCAAGTTAATGTTCAACGACTAGACATGTATCTAATTAGAGTAAAACTAATAATATCACAAAATACATGCAATAAATGAGAATTTTCTATTTTATAAACAAAAATTTTTGCAACAAATTATTTTTTATTAATTAAAATAATTAAATTACAATAATAAAAATAATAATAATAAAAAAATAATAATAATAAAAAAATAATAATAATTACTGTTTTTTTTTGGAAAAAACACTATTTCTGCCTGTAGGTCAATTAATCCATTATTTTAGATAAAGATTTGTCAACAATTTGGTAATTTTTTTCAACCGCTTGTGAGAGAGATTTTATTCTACTTTTCTTAAAAAAAGCGAATATTTGTCCAATTTGTCATAGAAATATTTTGTTAACTTTAGATCAATTTTTCCACCACTTGTGAGAGAGATTTTTTTTAAATTTATCAATTTTTTTACCGCTTGTGAGATAGATTTTTGTCTATTTTTGTTAAAATTCACGAATTTTTCCACAATTTGTCATAGAAATATTTTTTTAACTTAAGGTCAATTTTTCCACCACTTGAAAAAGTGATTTATTATTAATTTCACAAAATTTTTTTACCGTATGTGAGAGAGATTTTTTTCAATTTTATTTTTTTTTTTTTTTGGTTAAAAATCACTAATTTATTTACAACTAGTCAGAGAAATATTTTTCCTACTTAAGGTCAATTTTTCCACCACTTGGGAGAGTAATTTATTGAGAAAATTAATAAAAATTTCTACCGCTTGCGAGAGAAATTTTTCTTTAATTTTTTTTTTTTTGTTTAAAGTAGCTAATTTTTTCGTAATTTGTCATAAAAGTATTTTGTTAACTGTAGGTCAATTTTTCCGTCACTTGTTATAGTGATTTTTTTAACAGTTTTAGGTCTTTTTTTACCGCTTGCGAGAGAAATTTTTCTTTAATTTGTGTTAAAAGTAGCTAATTTTTTTACTATTTGTCATAGAAATATTTTGCTAACTTCAGGGCAATTTTTCCAGCACTTGTAATTGTAATATTCTTATTAATTTCACGAACCATTTC